ATTGAGTAACGTAACGGAATACGTTACAGAATACATTTTGGGGCATGTATTCTGTATTCTGTAATGGAATACATTTTAAAAGTAACCTTCCCAACACTGAACATAGGTTATTTTTAAACTGGCAATATAAATACATTCGATTAAAATATGCTACAAAATAAACACCTAGTTGGTGCCAGAATAAGTGAGGAGAAAAAGAGCCAACACGAGACAGCTGTTTTGAAATAAAATACTTTATACAACATTAATGTATAAAGCCTTTGTGCCTCGACTTGCCCACACTACAAACACCCACAACAAGTGAGTTCTGTTTGATCATGTTTCTCTTCCTGGAACAGTGCAATAGATTCAGATGGAGGCTGTACACACACACGTAAACACTGATGTCACGGTGAGTAGCTGCAATAAGACACACTTGCCATTTACAGAACAAGGAAGTAAAGAATGACCAGAGGTATACTGCGACAACAGCGACTGGCCATAGTTGAAAAAATTTGTTTATAAGGTCAAATATGATTTCACTGTATTACAGAATATTCAGGAGGCTGAGTAAATCCTAATATCATCAAAGGAAAAAACTCTTTGTACAACACATAATGGGTAGAAGTAACTTAAATTTCTTATAAATGTTTACAGTTCATTCTATGATCATATCTAGTTCTACTATTATGTAAGTACTAAGGTACACAAGGTGATAATGAATGTGACTGTTGCAACTCAAGCAACTGAGTCTGGCATATCTGCCAGATCTACTAAAGCCATAAAAGTGCCACCTTCACCTTTTGCACATACTCTTGAAAAATACTTCTCATGCAGAACTTCATGTTCAAAGGACACGGGTGTAGGACTTAAGAGGAGTTCACCACAACAACAAACAGCTGCAATCCTTCTGTTGTTTATTAGGTTGGAAATCACTTGGTTGAAACAGAACCTATTTTCTATCACTGGCACTTTTTCTTCCATAAATTTTGCTTCAAGCAATGAGTTTATTTCACAGCTGGGTTATAGAAACATTTTTTTAACAAGTTTGTTAATGTGAAGAATAATGTGTATATTCTATTATTGAGTGAAAAATAAAAAATAAAAATAAACACTTATCTATAGTTTATAGTTTAGTTATATATATATATTTTTTACTTTTCTTAAATTATTATTGGAGCTGAACTCCAATATAGTTTCTCTGTACTTAATTAATACTTCTGTTAATAACTTATTGGTATTGTCTTCTACTGACATGGACTGTTCTACACACCATCACTTGCCTGTGACAGTAGACACACTGCATCATTAATCTCTTGATCAGATTTTTTAAATATCTTTAAACTTATCTAATCTGAATTTTTAAAAATTATATTCTTATTATTATATTCTTCCACTCTGCTTATAAATATTCTGTGTGCACCATTAAAGAGGTTCCCATTCTCCTCACCTGGTACCAGTCACCCGTTTGTAGTTGTTCTCTGAGTACACAGCCAGTATGGAGACTCCTGAGCCAATGTTGACCAGCAACATAGGAAAGGGGTTGTCCAAAGTGCAGGGCTTCTTCACACAGCTCTGGGTGTCTGATGGGTTCTGGAAGTAGTAGCACTCAGGGTGTCCGTTGAAGCTTACCCGATCGACAAACAGCAGACCACGAATCAAGCAGTCTAGCTCGTCCAGCTTAAGCAGCTCCAGGTCAGCCATCTGCTCACAAATGTAGGAGGTTTAAAACATTGATAAGGCACTACTTTATCTACTAAATTGTTCCTGATGATTTAAAGTAAAACATTCCTTGAAACCTTTGATTTGTCAGTTGTATAGTATTAAAATGACTCACTGAAAATGGTCTTTAAAAATTAAAAGGTTCCTTATCCAAATGCAGACTAGACTATCAACATTCCTATAAAAGTATACAATGTGGATTACTGTAAATTGGCATGATGGTAACGGTGTAAAAATTAAGAAGAAAACTGGTTGCTTGTAGGGAATAGTAGAGCCCAAGAACAACAATGAAAAAAGTAGAACCACTTATTTGATAGTGTGGAACAACACTGAGTTGGAATTGTTACAGCAAGTAACATGAGTATATGGTGGTCATGGTGGGTAAAACAAAGACTTATAATTGTTGTAAGCAATTATAAGTCTTTATAATTGGAAAAAAAAAAAACTTGAGGGGCAAAGACGATTGCCTTACCCTCCTAAGACCCGAACTCTTTCATGGCATGCATTTTCAATTTCTCTTTGCTATTTGGGCTGATTGGGACCTGATGAATGTAAAAACAAAGAATTACCTGATTTTTTTTTTTTAACCTGATTTTTGTTTCTAAGAAAAATGAGATCCACATAAGAGGACATTTGTTTTAAATTTTGATAGAACAGTGGCAGTATAATGTCCTCGTAAGTGGATATCAGGCCCTTGTAGAGCAAAATTTAGTATTTTGGTCTTGACAACCAAAAATTTGATGTCCACATATGTGGACGCCAGGTCCTAGGAGGTTAAAAAAAACCCTCAAATACTGTAAAATACTAGGACATGACCACAATGTAATTAACACTTATTGCACCACGCAAAGTATGAATCCTTGCAATAGTGCTGGTTGCTTGCATTGGTTACGTCGTGGGCTGTATAAAGAGTCAATGCACAAACTCTAAATCTGCCGTTATTTGCAAAGGGTAACCACCGTGAATTAATCTGCATATTTGAATTGGCACAGATTTTCAGACATGAAGGATTTGTGTCTCCTCCCAATCTTGCACTGGGGAACTTTAACATGTTAGACAAATGTGTTTACCACTACACCACATATCTATTTTTAATCAACTAAGTATTTGATTAATCAACTATTCACTGTAATTATGTCATAATGTTTAATCAGTACCACTGATACTGAGATGTTATCTCTGTATATACTGCACACTCACCATTCTGAACTCATTCTCAAACTTGTAAGCCCCGCCTCCAGTGGCACAGAGTGTTGTGTGCAAGCTAGAGAAGTTCTTATCCCGTCCCATCTGAATAAAGCGGGGCATGGCCTGTGTTGGGAAGCGAATGAAGTGCAGGTTTCCTGTCCTGCCGCACATGGTCAGATTCCTCAGCTCCAGGTGAACGTCACGGACACCTGTTTTACCTGAATAAGGAAAGGATCATTTTACCATATGGTATTGTCTCCTGATTTGTGTTATGCTTTTAATTTCTTTTGAACACTCAAGTGACCCAAAAGCTGAATTTGAAGCTGATAACAAAATTCATCTCATAAATTGAAAAACTGTAAAATATATCAGTGAGAGATACCTATATCCATCTGCATGTGTAAATAGTCATACCATAGGCAACGTTTGAGGTGAGGTAGCGGCGGATTGACTTGAGGTTTTCCACTTCCTCCTGTTCTTCCTCTGCAGTTATATCGACTGGCTCAAAGTACACCAACTTGACCAAAGTCCCACCAATGTCCATACCAAACCAGGGGAAGGCTGGAGAAGGTAATGGAAAAACAAGGAAACTGTCACTTTAAAAAGAAAAACAAGACATTATGCAGACATTTTTGCATAACATATTGAATTCTGGTTGTTCTGTTAATAAAAATAAATACAAGACTATTTCCTTTGCAAATGATAAGGACATACCCCTGAACCATGATGTGCTCTAGACCAAAGTTGCATGAAATAAGCACCAGAGACTCAGAGTGATAATCCTTAATAGAAATCTATGGAAGAACTCAATAACGGCAAGGCATTTATCTCCCAATCCCTTTGCCAAAAGCCAATTAAAAGCTAAACCAGGAAACATATGAGCCAACTGTGTTGCTGCACAGATACATGCAGTTGTGAATCATAACACTTTCAATTGTGATTGTGACAGGCACATCTGCTCATTATTATCCAAGTCTATGGATATCATAATAAAGGAATGAATAAAGGAAATGAAGCAAGTTCCAGTAATTCTATCAATGGAGTTTATTACTAATGTCTCCCCGTTCATTTAGATAGGAGTTGCAAAATAACTGCCCAAAGGCAGTTACGATGTCCAAATTGCCAAGACAGTAATCTTGCTTCCAGGATGGTTTTAATAGGAGCACTGTACATCGAATGCTGCAAAAAAAACAACAACACTCGAGTGAGGGGAAACAATCTGGACTTGATATTTTTGGGGGTAGAACACTGAGTTCAGCACAAAAAAATGAAAATCTTCCAGCACCACTGGCTAGGGAAAAAAGCTACCACAGCACAACAAGATTGCCATAGAAACAGTTACCACTCCCCATCATCTCCTGTTCGCTCGGTATCTCATACACTGTTCAGCCTCCTATTTTCTCTTTCCCTTAGCTTCTCCTCTCCACCTCTCAGCCTTTATCACAGTCTCATACACACCATCCATCTTCCTTTCTCGACCTTTCCCACTTCCTCCCCTCCTCCATCTCCATCAGCATTCTCTCATTTGGAGTTTCTTGCCTTTCACCACACATTTTTCCTTTTTGTCCTTTCAGCTTTTTATTTTAGTGAACACCATCTTCTTCCGGCTTCATTCTGTTCCACTCCTCCTTATAGCTTTCCCTTGTTTCTCATCTGTCAGTCACTTTAATTAAATGAACATTTACATGGCCAGGATGACATAAGTGATACTGCGGGATGTTTTTAATTCACCACAAAGCAATGGATATTTGCCTCCAAAAACAATACATCAAATTGTATTCTTATTGGTTTTTTCCAAGATACAAAATGTATTGCTATTTTTAGAAGCTAACTGCATTGGCACTTCAGCAAAGAGAAAAGTTCTGGTTGAAATTTTGGTAAGAATGGTTTGATAACAAAATGAGGTTACACAGAGCTAAATCAGAGGAAAAACACACGGCATACCTCAAGTTTAGTTTTAAGGTTTTGCTGTGCTGTAGAGAGGCAAGACAAATATGAAAAGGAAGGTTTCGCACATGACATTTAATACTGGCTGTATCATTTAGTGTGTAGTTAGGAACAATGGAAAACATGTGCTAGTGTTCAAGACAACCATGCTCACTTAAACTGTGTTGCTGTGGAAGCAATGAACAAAAGAATGTGTTGAAGCAAACCATTTAGTACATAACTGGTAAACAGCACACTGAGACAATATATAATGTCTTTCACATGTAAACAAAATCCTACAGAAACACAGATGATAAACAAATGAAGCATGCTTCTATAACTCGGCTGATCAGTTTATTATGAGATGTATGACCCAAACACTGACACTTGTGATGTGTCCTTACTTTACACATCAGCTTGATTTCCATTCTGAGTAATATATATTTCCCTGTAAATATAGAATAAGCAATTCAAGACTCCAGACGTATAAACTTGGATTTGGTTCACTGAATACTGTTAGATGCTAAGAACACGTTTTATTTTAAACCTTCAATGAGAGTAAATGTTGATCAGTAAGCTTCTCTACTGAAGCAGCTACCTCTGAATAGAAGATCAGCATATGATTAATCACTTAACTGTAAAAAGAGTGTGTCCCTGCAGTCATCAGTTTCCTATCAATTTCAAAAACTCTCAATAATAACACAAAGATTAAATAGTAAAGACAACATTCATAAATAATTCATCAATTAACTGTTTCAAATCCAAGTAAATCAGACTTAGAACATTGATATCTTTGACTCTTTATCTTCATGACAGTAGTAGTTAAACACTAAACTAATTTACCACCATCTGGACTTAAAAAGGTCAGCATGTGACTGTTCACTGCCCTCTCTGCGCCTTTACTGTGGCCCTTGCATGATGATCAGAGTGACTATTTCACAACTGACCAGTGAAGGGAACAGACTGACTGTCTGGCTTACTGAGGCAAAGTCCACTTTCAGCTAAGCTCAGGATTCCACTTCAGAGGATGATCACTTGTAAACACATACTTTATGATTTACTAGCAATTAGTGTTAGCAACACAAGCATATGCACATGTGACCCCTCGATCTAATGTTTATGGTAAATTATGTCAAACTGACATACTATACAGACAAAAGTATTGGGCCAAATGTCTTAATCTTTGAATTCAGGTGTTTTAAATCCACAGGTTTTATACACAGGTGTATAAAATTAGGCACCTAACAACGTAGTCTATCTTTAAAAATGTTTGAGAAAGAATGTGTCGTTCTAAAGTGCTCACTGAATTCGAGTGTGGTACTGTAACAGGATGCCAAGATTGCAAAAACTAAGTTTGCTGCATGTCTTTCCTTGTAAAAATTCCACAATCAACTGTAAGTGGTATTATTGCAAAGTGGTAGGGTTTAGGAACCACAGCAACTCAGCCACAAAATGGCAGACCATAGAGACTTACAAAACAGGGTTGCTGCGAACTGAGGATCTTAGTGTGTAAAAGTCACGAGTGCTCTGCTGACTCAATAACTACAGGGTTCCAAACCACCCTCTCAGAGTAAACATCAGCACAAAAACTATGCACCAAGACTTCGTGGAATGGTTTTGGCCAAGCAGATCCTGTAGGGGCAATGTGTCCTTATACGATACTGTTTACGGTTTGTCAGAAAAGTGAATGCGCAACAGTAAATTCAGTATTAATCTCTTTAATATAACATCTCATTTTTGGTGAAACTGTGTCACAGTCTCCACTTTTACACCTACTAAAATCTACTTTCTTTTGAACACATAAAGGATAGGCTTTGTAAATGATATAACACTGATATTGCTTTTAATGTCAGCAAACTGTCGTAACCAAAGGTTACTCAGGTTTCACATTATTTTTAATATCTATAAAATGATTTGCACAGAACAATGTAAACTCGTGCAATACTTTTACACCTTTGCCTATTGAAAACTGAGCTAACTAATAGGAACCAAAAACAACTCTATGACTTTTAGCCCTGTTAAGGTTATCTGTTGATAACCCAACGCTACACCTGCTCCAACTCCACTACAGTGGCTAATGCCCTTCAGTCACCCACCACATTGTCTAGTGCACTTTTTTGCCACTGTGCCCTCTTACCCAGTGACCTTCTCTCATGTCTGTAAATAAGAACTGACAGACATTGATTTTCCAATGCCTGCTGTGGAAATCTCACCTGCTAGATTTTTTTTTAACGCAAACATTCCTCTTGTTGAGTGTGACACTAATGATTCTTAGATTCATTACTATCATTTTATCCTGCCAAACAAAGAGAGTATTTTTTTCTTTTTCTGTTTTTTTAATAAAGGAAATACATACTTATAATAGAGACAGCAGCTCTCACCACTGAGATCAAGAGTAATGGTTTAAAAGAGAAAGTAAAATTGCACAAGTATTATGGATTGTTACTAGCATTTCTGCCTTCCACCTTTGAAGAAATGAAATCTCCCACTCTGAGAAAATGAAAGGCAACACTGCAAGCAAAAGGAACGAAAGCCAGCCAGCCAGGGTAGATGACAGGGTCTGTCTCAAGTGACAATCATGTTTTTCTCCATAATCCCAGCCAAAAAACAAACTCACAAGCAGTACATGACATTATTCAAATTCAGAATTTAAATTTATACAAACAAACATATTTATTTAACATTACACTGATTACATGACTTCCTCCCTGAGATAAACATAAATAATCTAAGGATTTTAATTTTGCCTATTTTGAGCTGCTTGGAGACTCTAACTATGTTAACATCACTGTTGTGACTTTTTAATGATCTGTGTGAAAACTACAAACTTCCTGTTTCCCTTTTTAGGGTTTTATGTTGTCATTGTGGGAATTCTTTAAACTACATTTAAGCCACAATAATAATGTTAGTAAGGAAGATGTCAGTGTTGGTTCAGATGGTACAGCAGAGTGTCCACTAATTGCAAGCTTGGTGTTTCAAGCTCCAGCTCCTCCTGCTGATGTCATATGTCCTGAACCTGAAGCACTGAAATTGCTTGGCCCATTACATGGGCAGCCAAGTATCATGCACAGCGCCTGCAACACTGGTGTTTGCCTTGAACAAGAGGCCTGTTGGCGATAATGTACAAAATGTAATGCCACAATGCAATAATTGAAAATGACTTTGTCATTAAGACAAGATATTAAATGTTGAAAATGAGAAGTTGTGGCTTCCATTTGATTACATGATACTGCATTGCATTTATTTAACAAAACTCTTTAACTATTTGGGAACTGATTTGACCAATTTTTTTTTCTTGATAAAGGATATGAGCTGCTCAGCAGTTCAGTTATACTTTTCATTTTGTAATGCTTTCAATAAGTGGCAGGTCTACATTGCCAGCCCCAGTTTTTTATGAAAGATCCATGCTGTTGTATTACATGGAGAATTTAGTGTGGCATTATTCTTCTAAACAAGCCCTTTCTTGAAGAAGACACTGTTCCATAAAATATTTACATATTGTTCAGCATTAATGAAGCCTTCACAAATGTGCAGATTATCCGTACTATATGACGCCTCATTCAGTCAGAAGTACTAGCTTTTCAACTTCAAGCTGATCACAAGTAGGAAAGGTCCCTCTACCCCTGGCCCAGAAA